CAAAATACAGGTAAGTACATTTAAAATACAGGTAAGTACATTTAAAATACAGGTAAGTACATTTAAAATACAGGTAAGTACATTTAAAATACAGGTAAGTACATTTAAAATACAGGTAAGTACATTTAAAATACAGGTAAGTACATTTAAAATACAGGTAAGTACAGGTAACTATAAGAGATGGTGAACGAGAGGGTCGCGTCCCTGCGCCTTCAGGTCGGGGACAGGTCTCTCACTGTGGTGTCGGCCTACGGGCCAAACAGCAGTGCTGAGTACTCGAGTACCTAACCTTCTTGGAGTCCCTGGGAGGTACTAGACGGTGCACCGACCAGGGACTCCGTTGTTCTACTGGGGACTTCAACATCCACGAGGGCAACGACAGTGACACTTGGAGAGGGGTGATTGGGAGGAACAGTCCCCCCTGATCTGAACCCGGCGGTGTTTTGTTATTGGTTTTCTGTGCAGGTCACAGTTTGTACAGAACCAACACCATGTTCAGCACAAGGTCCATCAGTGCACGTGGCACCAGGACACTGTCGGCCGGAGGTCGATGATCGACTTTGTAGTCGTGTCATGTGACCTCCGGCCGCATGTCTTGGACACTCAGGTGAAGAGAGGGGCTGAGCTGTACAGCTCCACCTGGTGGTGAGTTGGTTCGCTGGGGGAGGAGGAAGCCGGAAAGACCTGGCAGACCCAAGTGTGTAGTGAGGGTCTGTTGGGAACACGTCTGGCGGAGCCTCTGTCAGAGGGACCTTCAACTCGCACCTCCGGGAGGACTTCTCCCGGATTCCGGGGGAGGCTGGAGATATGGAGTCCGAGTGGGCTTCATTCTCGGCCTCTATTGTCGGTGCAGCTGCTCTGAGCTGTGGGCGTAAGGTCTGTGGTGCCTGTTGCGGCGGCAACCCCAGAACCCGGTGGTAAAATTATGGACACCGGAAGTAAGGGATGCTGTCAAATGAAGAAGGAGTCCTATCATGTCTTGTTGGCTGGGGACTCCTGAGGCAGCTGACAGGTACCGGCGGGCCAAGCGTGCTGCAGCTCGTGTGGTCGCGGAGGCAAAAACTCTGAGCTGGGAGGAGTTCGGGGAGGCCATGGAGAAGGACTATCGGACGGCCTCAAAGAGATTCTGTCAAACCGTCCGGCGCCTCAGGAGGGGGAAGCAGTTCTTCACCAACACTGTTTACAGTGCGGGGGGAGAGCTGCTGACCTCGACTGGGGACGTTGTCCGGCGGTGGAAGGAAAACTTTGAGGATCTCCTCAATCCCACCGTCACGTCCTCCGAGGAGGAGGCCGAGGCTGGGGACTCGGAGGTGGACTCGTCCATCACCCTGGCTGAAGTCACTGAGGTGGTTAAAGCTCCTTGGTGGCAAGGCTCCGGGGGTGGATGAGATCCGTCCTGAGTACCTGAAGTCTCTGGATGTTGTGGGTCTTGGCTGACACGCCTCTTCAACAAAAATAAAATCACAGCAAATAAAATCACCCCGAGTCAACAAGGACTTATCTTCTCACGTGTGACTTTATCTCCTCCCGTCAGGCAGAGGTTCAGCAGAGTCCAGCAGCGTCTGACGAAGAAAACACAAAACACAAAAACACTCATCATAAAAAGAACATTAAAACAGAAGAGAGCAGAATTAAACTGTTTCCATCCTGTAAACCACAGTTTGAGAAACTCCGTCTCATATGACCTCATCTTCTCTAAAGTTTGGACGTGTCTCAAAGTGAAGTTTTTCCCAGGATCCTTCGCTGCAGCTGTCGCCCTGTGTGTCCTCTGAGGCTCATGAATATGCATAGGCTCATTTACATACGGCTCATTTACATACGGCTCATTTACATATTGTCAGGGACGTTAGCAGACGGTGAATCGGAGCCGCTGCAGGTCACAACTCAGGTCACAACTCAGGTCACAACTCAGGTCACAACTCAGGTCACAACTCAGCTTGCAACTCATCAATACTAAAATATGAACTAAAAACACAGACACCTGCAAATCCTAAACCAGGACTAAACCAGGACTAAACCAGGACTAAACCAGGACTAAAACAGGTCTAAACCAGGTCTAAACCAGGACTAAAACAGGTCTAAAACAGGTCTAAACCAGGTCTAAACCAGGACTAAACCAGGACTAAACTAAAACAGGTCTAAACTAAACCAGGACTAAACAAGGACTAAAACAGGTCTAAAACAGGACTAAAACAGGTCTAAACCAGGTCTTAACCAGGACTAAAACAGGTCTAAAACAGGTCTAAACCAGGACTAAACCAGGTCTAAAACAGGACTAAACCATGTCTAAGTCAGGACTGAACCAGGTCTAAGTCAGGACTAAACCAGGTCTAAAACAGGTCTAAACCAGGTCTAAACCAGGACTGAGCCAGGTCCTGAATCATTGATACCGACATGTGGATTCACCTGGACTGAAAGTGCTGAAGCAGGTCTCATTTATTCACACTTGGTTTGTTCTTTTTTCCATTTTAGTCCTGGTTCAGTCCTGTTATAGTCCTGGTCTAGTCCTGGTTCAGTCCTGGTTCAGTCCTGGTTCAATCCTGGTCTGGTCCTGGTCTAAGTGGACAGAGTGCAGATGTTTTATTGATGCGTCTCTCAGACTCTTGTTGATTTTTACAGAAAAACTGAAACAAGATTATTATTCTGATCAACTTCTTCTTTATTTGGGTTTAGATCTTTAAAATCTGTAGTAGTAGTAACAGTAGTAGTAGTAGTAGTAGTAGTAGTAGTAATAATAGTAGTAGCAGTAGTAGTAGTAGTAGTAGTAGTAGTAATAGTAGTAGTAGTAGTAGTAGTAGTAGTAGCAGTAGTAGTAGTAGTAGTAGTAGTAGTAGTAGTAGTAGTAGTAGTAGTAGTAGTAGTAGTAGTAGTAGTAGTAGTAGCAGTAGTAGTAGTAGTAGTAGTAGTAGTAGTAGTAGTAGTAGTAGTAGTAGTAGTAGTAGTAGTAGTAAAGTTAGTAGTAGTTAGTAAGTAGTAGTAGTAGTAGTAGTAGTAGTAGTAGTAGTAGTAGTAGTAGTAGTAGTAGTAGTAGTAGTAGTAGTTAGTAGTAGTAGTAGTAGTAGTAGTAGTAGTAGTAGTAGTAGTAGTAGTAGTAGTAGTAGTAGTAGTAGTAGTAGTAGTAGTAGTAGTAGTAGTAGTAGTAGTAGTAGTAGTAGTAGTAGTAGTAGTAGTAGTAGTAGTAGTAGTAGTAGTAGTAGTAGTAGTAGTAGTAATAATAGTAGTAGTAGTAGTAGTAGTAGTAGTAGTAGTAGTAGAAGGTATTTCTGGTGTAATTCTATGGTTAGAGCTCCCTCTGGTGGACACGTGTGTCATGAGTAAATCTAAGTTGATCAGTTAAATCCTTGAAACAGTTGAGACGTTTGTGGAGCGAGATAAAGAACTGCACTTTACAACCGCCCATAAACACGACGTATAAAGACGCCCGGGACGCAGAGGACAGAGGACACAGAGGACAGAGGACGCAGAGGACAGAGGACAGAGGACGCAGAGGACAGAGGACAGAGGACAGAGGACAGAGGACGCAGAGGACAGAGGACAGAGGACAGAGGAGAGGACAGAGGACAGAGGACAGAGGACAGAGGACGCAGAGGACAGAGGACAGAGGACACGGTGAGTCTCACACCTGACATTACACTCTGATTATTAGGGCTGTACAAATATATTGAAATATCGATACATCGTATTGTTTAATGTGACGATTCAGTATCGATATCGTGGGCTGTTGTATCGATTTATCACCAAAAAGATTTTTTTTGGGTTTATTTGACTACATGATTTAGTTTGTTCAGAGGAAGGAAACTCGTTTATGCGACACATTTGACATTTTTACTCTTTGGACAATTTAAATGTTTGTGTTTCAGATGAACTTTGCACAAGAAGTGATTTAACAAATAATTTTAGTGTCACACACATGATTTAGACTTTATTTTTATTAAACCATGTTGAATTGATTTGAAATATATCGTATCAAATCAAAAGTTCACTGTATTGAGGTTTGTATCGTATCGACATCTTGTTAAAGTCACCGATTATTATACAGACATTATTCTTCTGTTTGGGTTTGTGTTTGTTTAACACTGAAACAGGTCGTGTGGTCAAATGTTCTGTTGTTCCTGGTCACTCAGAACTGGACTTGTGTTTGTTTGAGTAAATCTTTATTCTGAGTCTGTTACATTTCCAAAACGCCAAACGCTCTGCTCCACCTCGTGATGTCATCAAGTTCTCAGCTCCTTTTCCCTTTAGTTGAGGCGAGATCAGCGACTCCACGGCCGAAATGATCCAGATGATTCTAGTGAAGGTGTGTGGAGTTTAAAAACGCAGTGGAGCATTTTCTGTATCACCACATGATGACATCACAAGGTGGAACAGAGTGTTTTCTCGTGTAAATGTGCAGGTTTGTGTGTGAAACATGTGAATGAAACAAACACAACTCCAGCGCTTTTTGTGATGCGGAAACTACATCAGAGCAGAGGATTATGGGACATGTAGTTTCAGTATAAACTACATTAGAGCAGAGGATTATGGGACATGTAGTCTGAGTATAAACTACATCAGAGCAGAGGATTATGGGACATGTAGTCTGAGTATAAACTACATTAAGAGCAGAGGATTATGGGACATGTAGTCTGAGTATAAACTACATTAAAGCAGAGGATTATGGGACATGTAGTCTGAGTATAAACTACATCAGAGCAGAGGATTATGGGACATGTAGTCTGAGTATAAACTACATCAGAGCAGAGGATTATGGGACATGTAGTCTGAGTATAAACTACGTTAAAGCAGAGGATTATGGGACATGTAGTCTGAGTATAAACTACGTTAGAGCAGAGGATTATGGGACATGTAGTCTCAGTATAAACTACATCAGAGCAGAGGATTATGGGACATGTAGTCTCAGTATAAACTACATCAGAGCAGAGGATTATGGGAGGTTTTAAAGCTTCATTTGTGGTTTTCTGCTGCGTGTTTGTGATGTGTGTGTTCGTCTCGTTGTTCAGATGCGTTTCAGTGGGTTTGTGCTTCTCGCCGCTTTGGCCCTGACCTCGGCCAGAGTCCAGGACGTCGTCATGAGGAGGAGCGCCGCCGTCAGGAGAGGTGAGGAACTACAACTGCAGCACTACAGAGCGCCTCCCCACAGACTCCAGCAGGGGGCGATGATCTGACGGAAACAGTGTCGGTACAGAGCTCAGAATCACAGGTTGGCGGTGCAATTTCCAGCTCCCACAGATGTTGTACCCTTGGGCAAGACACTTAACCCCCCTCGCCCCAGTGTGTGTGTGTACAGTTTTGTGTAGGAATAATACGGAACAATACACACCTCGATACACAGGCCACGATACGATACGCTTTTCGATACACTGAGCTTTTGATTCAGTACAATTCTATACGATATTTTTCACATCGATTCGATACAGTTCAGTAAAAAACAAAAGTGAAATCGTGGCTCTGATACTAAAAGTTCAAGTCCAATAAGTTTGTGCGTTCGAAACAGTGAAAATGTCGTCACAACCGTAGCTCTTGTGCTGAGTTCAGACCAAAAACATCAAAAACCCTCTGGACTCCTCTGGTCAGAGCCTTTGCTTTTGAGCTGAGACTCTTCTGACGCCGTGGACCAACGAGAGGAAAATACTTGACGCGCCCTGGAAACAAGAGACATTTCCCGTCTTTTCCTGGACTGATGGACCAGACTGACAGAGACTTTAGTGTTTTTATTACATGAAATCATCAGCGGAGGAGATCGACTTGGTGGTGTGTTTATATTTATTCTCCACTAAAGGCGCAGAGTTTCTTGTTCTGGTGTTTGTGGTTCTCGGGTTTTTTTCTTCTTCTTCTTCTTCTTCTTCTTCTTCTTCTTCTTCTTCTGGGTAATAAGGTCACAACGTCACTGGATCATCGTTCCTGATTGTTTAAAGTTCAAGTTTTTCAACTTCTGATCTTAAACGCTCAAGACTCTCACCAGATTCTCGCCGCGCTGACGACGCGCCGCCAAAACACAGGACGCCCCAGACACACGTCCACTGGACGCTTTGACCCCGCGGTCTGGACGCAGATTTACACAAATTAATTTAGTCAAATAAACCAAAAATCCTCTTGGTGATAAATCGATACAGCGGCTCACGATATCGATACTGAATCATCACATTAAACCAAACGATATATCGATATTTTGATATTTTTGCACAGACCTACAGGTGCAACTGACCTGTCTCTGTCTGTCTCTGTCTGTGTCTCTGTCTGTGTCTGTGTCTCTGTCTGTGTCTGTGTCTCTGTCTGTGTCTCTGTCTCTGTCTGTGTCTCTGTCTGTGTCTCTGTCTGTGTCTCTGTTTTTCTGTTTCTCTGTCTCTGTCTTAGTCCACAGTGTCCATGACCTTTCTTTATTTCTGTCTCTGTCTCTGTCTGTGTCTCTTGTCTGTCTCTGTCTGTGTCTGTGTCTCTTGTCTGTCTCTGTCTTTGTCTGTGTCTCTGTCTCTGTCCACAGTGTCCATGACCTGTCTGTGTCTCTGTCTGTGTCTGTGTCTCTGTCTGTGTCTGTGTTTTTCTGTTTCTCTGTCTCTGTCTTAGTCCACAGTGTCCATGACCTTTCTTTATTTCTGTCTCTGTCTCTGTCTCTGTCTGTGTCTCTGTCTCTGTCCACAGTGTCCATGACCTGTCTGTGTCTCTGTCTGTGTCTCTGTCTCTGTCTCTGTCTTTGTCTGTGTCTCTGTCTGTGTCCACCGTGTCCATGACCTGTCTGTGTCTGTGTCTGTGTCTGTGTCCACAGTGTCCCTGTTGAACCCGGAGCTGGAGGGCCGTGTCCCTGACGTCCCCCTGAGCCCCGCTGTCCCCTCCGCTCTGACCCCGCCCACTTTAGACCAGGACCAGAGCCTCGTCCAGACCGAGGACTTCCTGTTCGGGGACAACGTGAACCTGGAGTGGATCGAGTTTGACGGTTCTATTCCCAACGGCGCCGTGTCCATCTATAACGGCTACACGGAGCGCACGGACGTGGTGTGTAAGTACAAGTGTGAGGCCGGCTTCTACAGCCCGGAGCTCGGCCCGTTCTGCCGCTACCCGTACGGCGACCGCGAGTACTACGCCCCCGACTTCCACGTCCTCGCCAACAAGGACAACTTCGAGTTCCTGGAGTGGAAGGAGGACTCGCACGGCTCGGTGCCCAAGCACTCGGTCCGCACCTGCGCCAACGTGGGCATCTACGTGGGCAAGAACAAGTACGGCCTGGGAAAAGTCGTGCCGCAGTTTGAGGCTTTCTTCTTACCCTGGGAGGGAGACGAGTACTGGTACAAGAGCTACCAGGTACCTTCTCTGAGCTATGTTCTTCTGTCTCTGAGCTATGTTCTTCTGTCTCTGAGCGTGTTCTTCTGTCTCTGAGCTATGTTCTTCTGTCTCTGAGCGTGTTCTTCTGTCTCTGAGCTATGTTCTCCTGTCTCTGAGCGTGTTCTTCTGACTCTGAGCGTGTTCTTCTGTCTCTGAGCGTGTTCTCCTGTCTCTGAGCGTGTTCTCCTGTCTCTGAGCGTGTTCTTCTGACTCTGAGCGTGTTCTTCTGTCTCTGAGCGTGTTCTTCTGTCTCTGAGCTATGTTCTTCTGTCTCTGAGCGTGTTCTGTTCTCCTGTCTCTGAGCTATGTTCTTCTGTCTCTGAGCTATGTTCTTCTGTCTCTGAGCGTGTTCTTCTGTCTCTGAGCTATGTTCTCCTGTCTCTGAGCGTGTTCTTCTGTCTCTGAGCTATGTTCTCCTGTCTCTGAGCGTGTTCTTCTGTCTCTGAGCTATGTTCTTCTGTCTGACTCTGAGCGTGTTCTCCTGTCTCTGAGCGTGTTCTTCTGACTCTGAACGTGTTCTTCTGACTCTGAACGTGTTCTTCTGACTCTGAACGTGTTCTTCTGTCTCTGAACGTGTTCTCCTGTCTCTGAGCGTGTTCTTCTGTCTCTGAGCTATGTTCTTCTGTCTCTGAGCGTGTTCTTCTGACTCTGAGCGTGTTCTCCTGTCTCTGAGCGTGTTCTTCTGTCTCTGAGCTATGTTCTTCTGTCTCTGAGCGTGTTCTTCTGACTCTGAACGTGTTCTTCTGTCTCTGAGCGTGTTCTTCTGACTCTGAGCGTGTTCTTCTGTCTCTGAGCGTGTTCTTCTGTCTCTGAGCTATGTTCTTCTGACTCTGAGCTATGTTCTTCTGTCTCTGAGCTATGTTCTCTTGACTCTCGTTCTCAGGTCCTGACCATAAACAGAGACATGTACACGCAGCACATCTCGGACGTCAGATACGCCCTGGACGAGGCGGCCGTGTTCCAGTTCCCTCCTGAGACGATGCAGATCTCCGGCGTCACCAACAACGAGTGTCAGACCGTGTCCAAAACCGTGACGCTGAGCAAGACCACGGAGCTGGAGACCACGTGGAGCATCGGCCGAGGAACCATGATCGGCGTCACCGGGAGCATCACGGCCAAGATCCCGTTCATCGGTCAGGGCGGGATCGAGCTCGGCGGGGAGAAGACGCTGCAGTTTGACCGAGGTGAGAGTCGCCGTTTCAGAAGATGTCGTTTCTGCTTCAGACGGAAAACATCACACCGTTCTCATGTTCTGTTGTTCTGATCTTCTAACGTCCTGGTCACACTCAGACCTGGAGTCGTGTTTGTTTCATTCACATGTTTAACACACAAACCTGCACATTTAGAGTTCTGTGTTCTCTCAAACTGAAAACACTCTGTTCCACCTTCTGATGTCATCATGTGGTGATACGCAGGTTTCCAGAATTTCACAATACATTTCAAAAACTGGGACATTCCTGCTTTGTTGGTGTTTGGTAATAATAAAATCGGGAAACGAGTGTGTAATGTTCTGCTCTCGGCCCAAACGCGACAATTGTGAGACATTTTCTTCGTGTTTTGGTCGTTTTTAAGCTGATTTTTTAAAAATTATCAATAAAATGTCAGTTTAAATCTGTCTTTACTGTTGGCAGAATTGGTCAAAAATAGAGACACTGGGACATTTCTTGTATAAAACTGGGACAAATCAGTGGTTTTGTTTAAATCTGCTGGGACAGGGGACACAGGCTCAAAACTGGGACTTTCCCGGAGACACAGGGACGTCTGGACACTCTAATAATACAGGAAGTGCTCCACTGTGTTTTTAAACTCCACACAACTTCACTAGAATCATTCGGATCATTTCACTCGTGGAGTCGCTGAACTCGACTGAACTAAATCAGAGCAGCCGCGGGGTCTTAAAAGTCTTAAAAAGGTCTTAAATTACAGGTTCCTAAATTAAGGCCTTAAAAAGTCTTAAATTATGTTGTCCAAGTCTTATTTATTTTATTTTTTTTACGAAGATCTTAAATTTCATGAGCCTATTTTTTTGTTTACTCAACCGGGCTGCAGTGTGAGGTTAAACGGAGGAGGAAAAACAACAACAACAATGTGAAATCGTAAAGTGAATGAACGTTTAATTTGGAGAATCTGCAAACAATATTTTGGTTTCTGGCGCCGACGGCAACGAGTAAACGATCAGTAGAGCGGAGGAAGACGCCGGATGGATCACGGGGATTATGAGAACTGGATCTGGAGTTTTTCGCCTGCGTAATGGTGCAGTTTTGGTCTTCATTTTCATTTACGTGGTCTTAAACAGGTCTGTAGAAAAAGTCTTAAATTTGGAGTAGTCAAACCTGGAGATTAATGAACTTGATGACATCACAAGGTGGAACAGAGCGTTTGGACTCAGACTCAGAATAAAGAAACAAACAAACAAACACAAGTCCAGCTCTGAGTGTGACCAGGAACAACAGAACAACAGAACAACAGAACAACAGAACAACAGAACAACAGAACAGTAGAACAGTAGAACATGACAGTTTTTTTAATCTTAATCTACAACGTCCGCGTCTCTTCGTCTGTGATCTCGTCCTTCTGCTGTTTTGATCCTGTCACTTTTTCTCTGTCAAAATCAAAATGAAATAAAAGCAAAGCCATAAAAATCATACAACAGCAGTAAATAAAAAAAATGTTGGGACCAGGGATGGGCATGATTAATCGATCAATTGAGTTATGTCTTTTAATCCAACACAAGTTGAACCACATCAGCGACACAAGAGCTGGAGTTTTATCTTCACTTAGTTTATGTAAATTAGTGATGTGGTTTTAAGTTTTGTTTCTGTGAGATTTGAACAAAACTGAATTAAACACATTATAATGTCAAACAGCTGATGTGGATCTAGAGTCGTTATGTTTATATGTCGTAAAGTTGAATTTATTGATGCAGATTAGTGCAGATAGTAATAATAATGATGATCATTTTAATAGAAAAACGTTCATGATTAATCGATAATCGATCGTTAATTCTTCCGACGATCGATTAAGATAATTTCATCGAATGCCCGTCACTAGTTGGGACGTGGGGGGGGCAGAGCTTCCAGAGTTTGGGGTCGGTCACAGAGAAGCTCCTGTCCTCCTGGTTCAAGTCTCTTCTTAGGACCTCAGAGCCACAGGAGTAAATCTGGAGAAGGTCCGAGTCGTAACGCAGACGGTCGCTGTAGAAAAGTTGCGGAAAATCAAATAAAAAGTGCAGATGAATCTTTATTTTCATGTTTTATCAAATGTCCCACTGCAAACTTCAAGAGACGCTTGTTTATTTGTTTATTTTATTTTTCTGGCAGGAACAATTTTACACTAAACTAAAGAGTCTGACAAACTAATGTCCTCTGACCCTCTGACCCTCTGACCCTCTGTCCTCTGACCCTCTGTCCTCTGACCCTCTGTCCCTCTGTCCTCTGACCCTCTGTCCTCTGACCCTCTGTCCTCTGACCCTCTGTCCCTCTGACCCTCTGTCCTCTGACCCTCTGTCCTCTGACCCTCTGACCCTCTGTCCCTCTGACCCTCTGTCCCTCTGACCCTCTGTCCTCTGACCCTCTGTCCCTCTGTCCCTCTGTCCTCTGACCCTCTGTCCCTCTGACCCTCTGTCCTCTGACCCTCTGTCCTCTGTCCCTCTGTCCCTCTGTCCTCTGACCCTCTGACCCTCTGTCCTCTGACCCTCTGACCCTCTGACCCTCTGACCCTCTGACCCTCTGTCCTCTGACCCTCTGTCCTCTGACCCTCTGTCCTCTGACCCTCTGACCCTCTGTCCTCTGACCCTCTGTCCCTCTGTCCTCTGACCCTCTGTCCTCTGACCCTCTGTCCTCTGACCCTCTGTCCTCTGTCCCTCTGACCCTCTGTCCCTCTGACCCTCTGACCCTCTGTCCTCTGACCCTCTGTCCCTCTGTCCTCTGACCCTCTGTCCCTCTGTCCTCTGACCCTCTGACCCTCTGACCCTCTGTCTCTGACCCTCTGTCCCTCTGTCCTCTGACCCTCTGTCCCTCTGTCCTCTGACCCTCTGTCCTCTGACCCTCTGTCCCTCTGACCCTCTGTCCTCTGACCCTCTGTCCCTCTGACCCTCTGTCCTCTGTCCTCTGTCCTCTGACCCTCTGTCCTCTGACCCTCTGTCCTCTGACCCTCTGTCCCTCTGTCCCTCTGTCCCTCTGTCCTCTGTCCTCTGTCCTCTGACCCTCTGTCCTCTGACCCTCTGTCCTCTGTCCCTCTGACCCTCTGTCCCTCTGTCCCTCTGTCCCTCTGTCCTCTGTCCCTCTGTCCTCTGTCCCTCTGTCCCTCTGTCCTCTGTCCCTCTGTCCTCTGACCCTCTGTCCTCTGACCCTCTGTCCTCTGTCCCTCTGACCCTCTGTCCTCTGTCCCTCTGACCCTCTCCTCTGTCCTCTGACCCTCTGTCCCTCTGTCCTCTGTCCCTCTGACCCTCTGTCCTCTGACCCTCTGACCCTCTGTCCTCTGTCCCTCTGTCCTCTGACCCTCTGTCCCTCTGTCCTCTGACCCTCTGTCCCTCTGACCCTCTGTCCTCTGACCCTCTGTCCTCTGTCCTCTGACCCTCTGACCCTCTGACCCTCTGTCCTCTGTCCTCTGACCCTCTGTCCTCTGTCCTCTGACCCTCTGTCCCTCTGTCCTCTGACCCTCTGTCCTCTGACCCTCTGTCCTCTGACCCTCTGTCCCTCTGTCCCTCTGTCCCTCTGTCCTCTGACCCTCTGTGACCCTCTGACCCTCTGACCCTCTTCCTCTGACCCTCTGTCCCTCTGACCCTCTGTCCTCTGTCCTCAGGTACGACTCGGGTGGAGTCGATGTCTCACTCGGTGTCAGTGGAGTTGTCTGTTCCTCCGAGTCACTCGTGCCGCGTGAGGATGGAGGGTCGCAGGTTCAAAGCCGACGTGCCGTACAGCGCCCGCCTCAGCCGCACCTACGCCAACGGAGACACGCAGTGGACGTCCGTCTCCGGGACCTACGATGGTGTCCAGATCGGCGAGGTCCGCGCCGTGGTGGACCGATGTGAGCCGGTGCCCGACGCCCGACCCTGCCCGTGAGCAAGACACTCTGACCCCTGCCCGTGAGCAGGACACCTCGTCTGTGAGCGGTGGGAGTGTGTGACGTAATAAACCTGCTTCATTTCTGCTTTGATTTTCTTTGTGTTTTTGTCAAACATAAAACAGTCTGAATTAAAGAAAATTAAAGCCACACTGTGTAACTTTGCTGTAGTGACGATTTGTCAACGAAAACTAACAAACAAAACCGTGAGAAGATTTAAAGCTAAACACAACTAAAAAAAATCACTTGTGGGGACCTGATTTATGCAGGAAAAAACTAACTCAAGCTCCAGATCCAGAGCTGAATTTACATTTATTTACATACATATGACATTTACATTTATTTCAGGTTTTAACAGAAACCTGCCCCTGTCGCTCCTGCCCCTGTCTCTCCTGCCCCTGTCTCTCCTGCCCCTGTCTCTCCTGCCCCTGTCGCTCCTGTCGACTGGTAAAAACCACACGTAGAAAAAAAACAACATCTAACTAAATCAAAATGACTTCAATGAGTAAAATTAATTAATAATGATTTTATTTGAGTTGATTCAAGTTGGTGAGTAAAATGATCGATCAGTGGAATAAATTAGTTTTTTTTTATTAAGTACAAAAGAAAGAAAAGTTGGAACATGAGTTGGAGCAGCTCAAGAACAGAGAAAAAGTTTGTTTGTTTTAATAAATCTCACATTTTGCAGGAAAAACTGTCCACGATTTTTCTTTTTCTTATTTTAATACAGAAAGTTTTGTTCATCTGCATCATTTTACTTTTCAAGTGAAATTTACACAAATCATGATAAAACTTTCTTTATTCAAGTCATCTGAACTTGACTAGATTTAGTTTTTTGCAGTGCAGACTCAGGTCCCTCAGGTCCTTCAGGTCCCTCAGGTCCCTCAGGTCCTTCAGGTCCCTCAGGTCCTTCAGGTCCCTAAGGTCCTTCAGGGCCCTCAGGTCCCTGAGGTCCTTGCAGGTCCCTCGGTCGTCCTCCCCACGACCAGATTTATAATAAATAAATCATATAAATATTCTTTACACTGACAAACAGAAGTGAGGAAACTGTGACACAGGAAACAAACACAGACTCAGTCCTGAGGGCTAACCACTCTGCCACAGACACACGGGTCTGGGCCCCGAGTCTTGGTTCTCGGGTCTTGGTCCTGAGGTCCTGGTCTTTGGGACCTGGTCCTCAGGTCCTGGTCCTCGGGTCTTGGTGTTTGGGTCCTGGTCCTTGGGTCCTGGTCCTCGGGTCCTGGTCCTCAGGTCTTGGTCTTTGGGTCCTGGTCCTCAGGTCTTGGTGTTTGGGTCCTGGTCCTCGGGTCTTGGTCCTCGGGTCTTGGTCTTTGGGTCTTGGTGCTCGGGTCCTGGGCCCCGAGTCTTGGTCCTCGGGTCTTGGTCCTGAGGTCCTGGTCTTTGGGTCCTGGTCCTCGGGTCTTTGTCCTCGGGTCTTGGTCCTCGGTCTTGGTCCTCGGGTCTTGGTCTTTGGGTTTTGGTCCTCGGTCTTGGTCCTCGGTCTTGGTCCTCAGATCTCGGTCTTTATCTCTCAGTTTTGTCTTTGCTGCAGAACTCGGGGTCAGAGGAAAGTTTACGACGACAATAAAACTCCAGGAACCAACACTTATCTGGAATTATCAGAGAATTGTCAAGAACCAACATTTTTTATCAATATTTATCAATATTTATCAGAGGGAGGCTCTTTGGACCGGAGGGCGTCTGATCTGCTCCCAGAGAAACGAGAAAATAACATCAGACACTTAAAGTTTAAACAGAAAAAACATTTAGACTCAAACTTCACTGATTCACACACAGAGTCACAATATGATCAGTGTTGGGAAGTTTACTTTTCAAATGTAATCCCCTACAGATTACAGATTACACACCCCAAAATGTAGTTTGTAACATAATCCATTAAATTATTTAAAGTGAGTAATGTAATCTGATTACTTTGGATTATTTGATTTGCTGTAGAGAAACAAAGACGAGGAAATCTTCACATAAAAAGTTTTGTCTGATAAAAGAAAATAAAAAAGACCAAACTTTACTGAACCAAATTCAAAATATTATTGATAGAAAACGAGGAAACACGTCCACACAGCAGGATTTAGTCCTGTTCAATCTTTAGACCGGTTTTAATGCTGGTTTAGACCAGGTTTAGACCTGGTTTAGTCCTGGTTTAGACCTGGTTTAGACCTGGTTTAGACCTGGTTTAGACCTGGTTTAGTCCTGGTTTAGACCTGTTTTAGCCCAAAATGTAAAAACAGGAAAATCCCGTCGTGTAATCCATTTCTTCCAACAAAGTAACTGTAATCCAATTACCAATTACTGAAACAGTAACTGTAACTGACTCATCATTTGTACTCTGATTACTCCGGTACATGTAATCTGTTACTCCCCAACACTGAATATAAAATATAATAAGAGAGAGAAAAATATAAATGGTAAAATAAATTCAAAATAAGAAGCAAAAAAGAGACACGTGTGAAATAAAACAGAATTATAAAAATGTAAATGTACAAGTCAAAATAAAACAGAAAAATAAAATAATAAAATATAAACAGTCAGGTTTGTACCAGAGGTCAGAGGTCAGAGGAGTGTGATGATTGACAGGTCACAGGGTCATGTGGGACGTTCAGGTGAGTTTGTGGAGAACAGCGCCCCCTGCCTCTCGAACACAACACGACACCAAACAACGTAACAAATCTTTCACTTTACTGTGACTCATTCACTAAAACAGACGGTTTCTTAAAAGAGGAGTGTTTACCTCCGGCTCATCTCCATGGAGATTATGGCTCTACCTGAAATATTCCACAGTGTGGCATTAAACTTGAACAGCCAGATCTGCACAAACAAACAAACAAACAAACAAACATATAAACACTTAAATCCATCAGAAAATGTATCAAAAGTGTGAAATGACGTGTCCCTGCACCAAGATCATTTTACTGAACAAATTCTGTTCAAATAATCGACTCGAGACGAGAAGAAAACGTCTGAGAACGAGAGAGGAGAGAAAAAAATACAATAAAATAAGAAGAACCTGATAGAAGTTTTAAAATCTTGGTCAGATCAAAGAAATGTGCAGTGTGACTGTTTTCAGTTTAGTCCAGGTCTGGTCCTGGTTTAGTCCTGGTCGAGTCCTGGTCTAGTCCAGGTCTGGTCCTGGTTTAGTCCAGGTCTAGTCCTGGTTTAATCCAGGTCTAGTCCTGGTTTAGTCCTGGTCGAGTCCTGGTCTAGTCCAGGTCTGGTCCTGGTTTAGTCCTGGGTCTGGACCAGGTTTATTGGGGTCATGTTTTCTGGGGGAGGAGTCAGACCTGGATCTGAGCCTCAGTCCTGAAGCAGCGACGGCCGAGGTAAGACCTGAGACTCTGGACTCTGAGACCCAGACTCTGAGACCAAGACTCTGAGACCAAGACTCTGAGATTCTGGACTTTAAGACTCTGAGACTCTGGACTCTGAGACCAAGACTCTGAGATTCTGGGACTTTAAGACCTGAGACTCTGGACTCTGAGATTCTGGGACTTTAAGACTTTGAGACTCTGGACTCAGACCTGCTCTGGTCTGTGTTGATCAGGATCTTCAAAAGAATCGATCCTGTGATTTAAAACGATCATTGAAGAAACTCTGTGGGTCTGATAAAAGAAACAATGGAACTCAGACGAGAAACTCTGAAACTCTGAGAGACTCTTTAAACGTCCCATGATCCTCTGCTCTGTTCTGTTCTAATGTCATTTCCTCTGTTCCACCTTGTGATGTCATCATGTGGTGATACAGGAAGTGCTCCACTGTGTTTTTAAACTCCACACACCTTCACTAGAATCACCTGGATCATTTCAGTCCTGGAGTCGCTGATGTCGACTCAACTAAAGGGAAAAGGAGCTGAGAACTTGATGACATCACAAGGTGGAACAGAGTGTTTGGAGTTTTGGAAATGTAACAGACTCAGAATAAACAAACAAACAAACAAACAAACACCAGTCCAGCTGTGAGTGTGACCAGGAACAACAGAACAACAGAACATCAGAACATTAATTAGACGTGGTTGAAGTTCTCAGAGGTTCTCGTTGTTCTGCAGATGCTGTGGCGTTCCCTGCTCCCTCTGCTGGCGGCTCTGCTCCACTGCGGCCGTGTTCAGTCTGGGACGCTGCTGTTTGTGTCCGAGGACGGTCGCCATGACAACAGTGAGTCACACACTCTGGATTATTCTGCTCATCTGTGTTTTAACTCAATCTGACCAGAAGGACCTGATTTAACCACAACTACTGACCTGAGCTGTGAAACACTGAACATCCTCTGACATCATCACAGCCACGAGCTAGTGTTAGCGTTAGCATTAGCATTAGCGTTAGCGTTAGCCAACAGTTTCTCTGTGAGTCACTTTCACCTTTTAGTGTAAAACTCCTGAACATGAACATTTCTCTTTAAATCACTGGGAATTGTTTTTCTTTTTTTTTCAGATGATCTTAAAATGTTTGTGTTTGTAGTGTGTGCTGAACATTCGACCATAGACACACATGTAGAGCCGTCAGTGTGACGTCCCTGCGCAGCATCAGTAGAAAACGTGACATAAACATTGATCCACATAAACCCGAGTAACCGTCCGGTGTTTGTTTCCTCAGGGCCGTGGTTGAACCCGTCGCTCTCTGAGCTCGTCCCGTCTCGCTCCTCGGACTCGCCGCGTCCCCTCGACCTCACAGACTCCGCCCCCTTTACGTCACCAGACTCCGCCTTTTTCCCCGAGGAGCCGATGTTCCCGGAGCACGTGAACCTGAAGTGGGTTCGTTTTAACGGCTCTCTGCCCGACGGCGCCGTGGGCATCTTCAACGGTTACGCCGAACGCACCGACTACGTTTGTAAAGTGAACTGCGAGTCGGGCTTCTACACCGCCGGCGCCGGCGCCGTCTGCCGTTACCCGTACGCCGACAAAGAGTACGCCTCCTCCAGGTTCGACGTCCTGGTGAACGTCGACCATTTCGAGTTCCTGGTGTGGGCGGAGGATTCGTACGGGGCGGTGCCGCCGTACTCCGTGCGCACCTGCCCCAACGCCGCCATCTTCGTGGGTAAAAACAAATACGGCCTGGGCAAAGTGGCGACGCAGCACGAGGCGTTTTTCCTGCCGTGGGAAGGCGAGGAATACTGGTACAAGAACTACCAGGTCCTGACGATAAACCGCGGCGCCTACACGCAGCACGTCTCCCACGTCCACTACGACATCGACCACATGCGCCTCTTCCACCATCCACCGGAGGCGCTGCAGCTCGCCACAGTCACCAACCTGGAGTGCAGCGGCGTCCACAAAACCGTCGCCCTGGAGAAGTCGACGACGCTCGAGAAGCACTGGGACATCGGCCGAGAAACCAGGAACGGAACCATCAGCACCATGAAGGCCAAGGTGCCCGTCCTCGGTCAGTCCCAGGTCACAGGGTCACAGCTCAGGTCACAGCTCAGGTCACACCCGGGACACAGATCAGGTCACTTCCAGCTCAGGTCACTCCCAGGTCACAGCTCAGGTCACTCTGGGGTCACAGCTCAGGTCACTCCAAGGTCACAGCTCAGGTCACTCCAGAGTCACAGCTCAGGTCACTCTGGGGTCACAGCTCAGGTCACTCCGGGGTCACAGCTCAGGTCACTCCCGAGTCACAGCTCAGGTCATAAAAACAGAGGATCAGAGTCGTCCACATTTGGGGCCCGGGGTAAAAACACACATGGGGCCCTTCTAATATTAATTAATCAGCAGGTTCCAGTTCTGGCCCCTAAGACCCGGGACCTGGGACCTGGGACCTTAGTCTCATTTGACCTCAGGTCGGTGTTTATCACCGAGTCAGATTTAAACAAGTCTTTGTTTGACGGAGACGAGTCGATGGACCCGGAAATGACATCACAACAGAGTGTAACCAGAGACAGGTGAGCCAGGTGAGGACAGGTGAGACAGGTGAGGCAGGTGAGACAGGTGAGACAGGTGAGACAGGTGAGGCAGGTGAGACAGGTGAGACAGGTGAGACAGGTGAGACAGGTGAGACAGGTGAGACAGGTGCAGATGTGTGACCTCATTTATGGTTCAGATCTCTGTGATTACTGGACTTACAGACCTGGTTTAGTTCTGAGAAGGAGAAACAACACTTCTCTAGAGTTATTTCGATTTATGTAGAGTTCTTCAGAGTTCTTCAGAGTTTTTTACAGTTCTTCTTTGCCTGTTGTGAGCGTTTGTGCGTCTCAGGTCCGGGGAACGTGGACTTCACGACGGAGCAGACGGTGACGTTCTCTGAGGGCACCTCCATGAGCGAGACCATCAGCCACAAGGTGCAGGTGCAGGTAAGGACCTCCCACTCCCCAGACGCCTCCCCCAGGTCCTCTGAGAGACCAGGAGCAGAGGCTCTACTCTGAGCTCCACCTCTAATGTCAGATCTATAATTCTGGTTTAGACCTGGTTTAGTCCTGGTCTAGTCCTGGTTGAGTTCTGGTTTAGACCTGGTTTAGACCTGGTCTGTGGTCTGGTTTCTGTCTCAGATCCTGGTTCCTAGTCTTCACTCGTGCTCGGTGAGGATGGAGGGGCGGCGGATGACGGCCGACATCCCGTTTCAGGCTCGTCTGAGTCGGACGGATCAGGACGGAGAGACGCGCTGGACGTCCATCGCCGGGACGTACGACGGCGTCAACGTGGGCGAGATCAACGCCGTGGTCGAGAGGTGCCAACCGCTGCCCGACGCCCCCCGCCCTGCCCCCCCGACTACTGACCCCGCCCCCCTGGGTACTGGCCCTGCCCCCCCGAGTACTGACCTTGACTACTGACCCCAACTACTGACCCCGACTACTGACCCCGACTACTGACCTCGACTACTGACCCCGACTACTGACCTCGACTACTGACCTCGACTACTGACCCCGACTACTGACCCCGACTACTGACCCTGCCCCCCCGACTACTGACCCCGACTACTGACCCGCCCCGACTACTGACCCCCCCCGAGTACTGACCCCGACTACTGACCCCGCCCCTGACCACTGACCCCCACCCCCGAGTACTGACCCCGCCCCTGACTACTGCCCCTGCCCCCGAGTACTGACCCCGACTACTGACCCGCCCCGACTACTGACCCTGCCCCGACTACTGCCCCTGACTACTGACCACTGACCCCACCCCCGAGTACTGACCCGACTACTGACCCGCCCCTGACTACTGACCCCACCCCGACTACTGACCACCCGACTACTGACCCCGACTATTGACCCTGCCCCCGACTACTGACCCCGACTACTGACCCCGCCCCTGACTACTGACCCTGCCCCCGACTACTGAGCCTGCCCCTGAGTACAGAGCCCCACCCCCAAGTACTGACCCCGCCCCTGAGTACTAAGCCCCGTCCCCAAGTACTGACCCCGCCCCTGAGTACTAAGCCCCGCCCCCACAGGACTGCAGTGTCACGTCAAAGTAAATAAATAAAATATTGAACCCAGAGTCACGTCGTTACGTTTGTCCAACCACAACACGTGAGGATTAAAGAGGGAGTATTATAGTTCTCTAGGGTTATATTTTAAATTTACATCAAAACATCGACTCTTTTATTTTGTGATTTAAAACAGAATTGATCCAATTAACCATGAAAACATGAACTATGTGAAAAGTTTAGAGTTTAAAGGCACACAGAGGCTGGAGTCACACGTCACATATTCACATCACCACCATCCTTCAACTGTTTTGAAAATGTTATATTTGCCCAAAACAACAGATTCACAGGTTTTATAAGTTTCTCTGAGTCTCTCCTCCCTTTGCTTTCTGTGCTAAGTCCCTCCCCCTTCAGAGCACTGTCACACACACTCGTTGTGCGTCGCATTAATGAAACTCAAACATCAGCTTTGTCGTGTCGTTGTGTTCAGTTGTTGTGTTTTTATGGAGAGTTGCGGTGTGGATTATGTGGGGGTGGAGCCTCGTACAGACTCGTACTGCAGCGAACTGTGAGGAGGGTTTGAATAGGGCCCAGGAGAGATCACTAGATGACTCAAAAATGGATGGATGAGTCTAGACCTCTTCATGTTTGTGATGAAGAACATTAGAACATCAGGGAAAGATTCACCAGACACACACAGGAGGACGGGAGGGCACCTGACACACACAGGAGGACGGGAGGGCACCTGACACACACAGGAGGAGGACGGGAGGGCACCTGACACACACAGGAGGACGGGAGGGCACCTGACACACACAGGAGGACGGGAGGGCACCTGACACACACAGGAGGAGGACGGGAGGGCACCTGACACACACAGGACGGGAGGGCACACACACAGGAGGACGGGAGGGCACCTGACACACACAGGAGGACGGGAGGGCACCTGACACACACAGGAGGACGGGAGGGCACCTGACACACACAGGAGGACGGGAGGGCACCTGACACACACAGGAGGACGGGAGGGCACCTGACACACACAGGAGGACGGGAGGGCACCTGACACACACAGGAGGACGGGAGGGCACCTGACACACACAGGAGGACGGGAGGGCACCTGACTCTATATTTCTCCTCCCTCGTCGTCTTCAGTTTGATCTGAGCGTGTTTAGACGGTGGCGCCCTCTGCTGGTGACTCTTGTGTGTCACAGGTGCAGGAGGGGGAGCTGCTACATAGAAGTCTGTGGTCAAATGTTCCCTTTATTTTTATGAATAATTAAAAATGGATTTAAGTTTCCGCTGCGTCTGAACACGGAGGAAGATTCACCGTAAAATTCAGACAAAACTGAAACTGGACAAAGTTTTGTCTGAGGCAAAAATAAAAGAATAAAAACATGTGAGGAAAATGCAGATCGTGTTGATGAGGCAGAGACGCTTCAGGAAACAGACGCAGAGTTTGGAAAAGATGATTAAAGAAAAACAATGACTTCAAAATAGAACTCAAAGTATTGATCCAGTTAAAGCAGCACAGCAGCAGCAGTTCACTCTGTGTCCAGCAGAGGGAGACGCTCAGCCCCGCCCCTCGTGTCATAAGATCGGTGAATCTAAAAAATAACCAAATTATAACAGCTCCATCACAGACAGAACTGAGCTCGAGCACGAGATTGTTATTGTTGTTTTCTCATATTTCTCCTGGACTCAGATTTTACACTGAAGGTGTTGAATTTTGTGATTGAAAGAGCAAAAACGTGTAAATGTTCTTTACTAAATTATTGCTTCCTCAGTGAAGAGATTAGATTCTTAAAAGAAATTCTGAAAAGAAAGAACTGTTTTTGTTTGAAAATCTGCAATAAAAATAAATAAATAAATAAATACAAATTAAAATAAAGAGTGGCTCTGTGGAGCGTTTGTTCCTGCGTTTATTTTGAAACAAAAAAAGTGAGACTTTTATTGTGAAATCTCCCGGAAGCAGGAAATAAGACACGCTCGGATCAGCTGACCGAAGTGTTGAAGAAGCGGCTCCGCGGAATCAAACCCCCGACCTCCTCCCGGAGCCCGGACATGCCCCCTGCCCCGACCGCTGCCCCGACCGCTGCCCCGACCGCTGCCCCGACCGCTGCCCCGACCGCTGCCCCGCGCTCCTCTCCGGCACCGACCCGAGTTTGAGGCTTGAACTGAGGCTTTTCCCGGAGCTGAGCCACGGTGTCCTGTGAGCCGCTGTGAGCCGCTGTGAGCCGCTGTGAGCCGCGGGAGCCGTGAGCCGCTGTGAGCCGCTGTGAGCCGCGGTGTCCCGGAGCCGGAGCTCCGGATGGACCTCCAGGACGAGAGGCGCGGGCTGCTGCAGGCGGAGGCCGGACACAGAGAACCAATTCCCGCGGACGGAGACCCGGACCCACCGCTGTCCGAACAGGACCAGTACCTCAGGTCAGAGACGAACCGGACCTGGTCTAGTCCTGGTCTAGTCCTGCTTTAGTCCTGGTTCAGTCCTGGTCTAGTCCTGGTCTAGTCCTGGTCCTTTAGTCCTGGTTTAGTCCTGGTTCAGTCCTGGTTCAGTCCTGGTCTAGTCCTGGTTTAGTCCTGGTTCAGTCCTGGTTCAGTCCTGGTCTAGTCCTGGTCTAGTCCTGGTCTAGTCCTGGTTAGTCCTGGTTCAGTCCTGGTTTAGTCCTGGTTTAGTCCTGGTTCAGTCCTGGTTTAGTCCTGGTTTAGTCCTGGTCTAGTCCTGGTCTAGTCCTGGTCTAGTCCTGTCTAGTCCTGGTTTTAGTCCTGGTTTAGTCCTGGTTTAGTCCTGGTTTAGTCCTGGTTTCAGTCCTGGTCTAGTCCTGGTCTAGTCCTGGTTTAGTCCTGGTCTAGTCCTGGTTCAGTCCTGGTCTAGTCCTGGTCTAGTCCTGGTCTAGTCCTGGTCTAGTCCTGGTCTAGTCCTGGTCTAGTCCTGGTCTAACTCTGTCTTTGTCCCACAGTAAAGTCCAGGACCGTCGTTTGTTCCTGTCGTCCTTCGCCGCGGTCCTGGGGCCTCTGAGTTTCGGCTTCGTGTTGGGTTACAGTTCTCCCGCCATCCCGGACCTCATGAGCATCGAGGACCCGCGGCTCCGACTCGACGCCGACCAGGCCTCATGGTTCGGGGTACGGTTCCCACGGCAACCGCCTCCAAAAACACCCACACTCATCTTTATCTTCTGTTTTTAGTTTTATTTATAGTCCTGGTTTAGACCTGGTTTAGTCCTGGTTTAGACCTGGTTTAGACCTGATTTAGACCTGGTTTAGACCTGGTTTAGTCCTGGTTTAGTCCTGGTCCAGTCCTGGTTTAGTCCTGGTTTAGTCCTGGTTTAGTCTTGGTTTAGTCCTGGTTTAGTCCTGGTTTAGTCCTGGTTTAGTCCTGGTTTAGACCTGGTTTAGTCCTGGTTTAGTCCTGGTTTAGTCCTGGTTCAGTCTTGGTTTAGTCCTGGTTTAGTCCTGGTTTCGTCCTGGTCCAGTCCTGGTTTCGTCCTGGTCCAGTCCTGGTTTAGTCCTGGTTCAGTCTTGGTTTAGTCCTGGTTTAGTCCTGGTTTAGTCCTGGTTTAGACCTGGTTTAGACCTGGTTCAGTCTTGGTTTAGTCCTGGTTTAGTCCTGGTTTAGTCATGGTTCAGTCCTGGTTTAGTCCTGCTTTAGTCCTGCTTTAGTCCTGGTTTAGTCCTGGTTCAGTCCTGGTTTAGTCCTGCTTTAGTCCTGGTTTAGTCCTGCTTTAGTCCTGGTTGTGTAATTTTCTGGTGGAGGGTTCACCACCTGCTCGTCTCCATGGAGATGATTATTATTATTATTATAGATCAGCTCTGTGGGGAGGCGAGCTCGTTCAGGGTGATTTCCAAGCGACTGTAGAGAAATAAAAACACTGAGTTGTTGTTGATCTGTAAAGTTGATTGAGTTTAATGTTGCACTGTGGAACATTCCAGTCAGAGCAGTGAGTTTGTCTCCACGGAGACAAACAGGCAGAAAAGTTCCACAGTGCAGCTTTAACCTTTAACCTTGAAATAAGAAACACAACCTGTGAGAAAAACAGAAGTAAAAGTTCAGTCTCGTGTTCAGAGCAGAGGTCAGCAGGGTCAGAGGAGGGTCAGAGGAGGGTCAGGGGTCAGAGGTCAGAGGAGGGTCAGAGGAGGGTCAGGGGAGGGTCAGAGGTCAGAGGAGGGTCAGAGGTGGGTCAGGGGAGGGTCAGGGGTCAGAGGTCAGAGGAGGGTCAGGGAAGGGTCAGAGGAGGGTCAGAGGAGGGTCAGAGGAGGGTCAGGGGAGGGTCAGGGGAGGGTCAGAGGTCAGGGGAGGGTCAGAGAGGGTCAGGGGTCAGAGGAGGGTCAGGGGAGGGTCAGAGGTGTGT